ACAGGCCACCGCTGACCCTCCCCCCCCACCCAGGGCGACTCTGGAGGACCCCCGGTCTGCAAGGTGAGGGGCACCCGGCTGCAGGCAGGCGTGGTCAGCTGGGGCGACGGCTGGGCTCAGGCCGACTGGCCAGGCATCTACAGCCGGGTCACCCACTACCTGGACTGGGTCTGCCGGTATGTCCCTGAAGAGCCCTGAGCCGTCCCCAGAGCTGCCAGCCCTCTGCTGCCCCCGACCGCTGCTTCGTCCCCGCGCCCTGCCCGGTGAGCAGGCCATGGGCGCTAATCCTCGTTACGGTGCCTGCAGAATACATGTGGTTGTCACCATGGCTCCGGTTGTGGGGGGGTCACTGAGGGAGAGGGAAGGGGGCGCAGGGCACGGCCGGGTGCAGCTGCGGTCACCGTGGGGTCCCCAGCCCCCAACCACCGTGCCCTGCCCAGGCCCTTGTACCCAGGGCCGCTTCTCAGCTCACTCGCTGTCTCTTTGGTGAGTGACATCATGCACTTGGGGACAGAGAAAGCAACCAGGACCGTTGAAAAGACATTTCTGGGGACCCCCAGGCACTGAGATGGGGTTGAGGTTGGGGGTTGAGGGGACGTCCCGCACCCCCGTCCCCTCCTCCCCCCCGTGCGACACCCCCCGAGCCTCGCGTTTCCCTGCACGCCCTCACCTCTCACGGCCACGCTCGCCCTGCTGTCCAGGCTGCTACGGGGGGCGTGGGGTGTCCCCATCCGGGGTCTGAGGGCCGGGCGGCTGTGGCCCTTCCTATGCGCACGCCCGAGATGGACAGGCCACGTGGGCCACCCCCCACCCGCAGCAACGGGGAGAGTGGCCGGCCGACCCCACTCACAGGCCACGGTGCTGGTCGGGGGTGGCACCTCATTAAAGGTTCTAATTCGCATCTCTGTGAGTTGTGACGAGAAGGGTCCCTTGGGCGACTGGAGCCCTCGGCCTCGGCACAGGGGGCGGAACGGCGGTCCACCTGCAACACCGGACCGGGTCCAAGGGCCCCACTGCTGGGTGTTCTAGTTGCAGACTGTTCACTCGTTTCCGGGTCTTTCTATGAGGTAGACAGCGCTAACCTTTGCCTTTGAAAGTCTGTGGTCTCTTGGCTGTTCAGACACAGCCATGTGCCCGAACACACAGAGAATGACATCACCACCGTCCTTCGGGGAGTCTTCTGGGCGCTCTGGGCCAGAAGGAGCTTTCTAGGTCAACGTTCACCTCTCTCCTTCCGGTTGTCAGACACAAACACATACATTTAATCTAAAGTCTCTGTCCTTAGCGGTGAGATTCTGGAATGGTCCACCAGGTTCCTTCCACAGCCCCACCTGACTCCTGCAGCTTGCAGAGGGTGGGGGACAGAGAGGTGCAGGGGGTGGGGGTACCAGGGACAGAGGGAGCTGTGGGGGGTCCAGCCATTCCACCGTGCTGGTAGGGCCCTTCCCAGAGGGCCACTGTGTCCGCCGGGCGACAGGAGACCCCAGCGGGCCGGGAGGGTATCCCCAGGGCCAGGGGAGGGAGGCACCTAGAGCCAGGACACCCCCCCCGCACCCCACCCTGCTCTCCGGTCAGATGGGGACAGAAGCCGCACGGTGTCACAGAGACATCAGGGGGCTCCGAGGCTGGTGTCCAGGTTCTCTCTCGACAGACCCAGGTGTCCAGGGAGGCTGAGGGCTCTGCAGGGAGCCACGTGAGGGGTTACGGGTGGGGAGAGGGGTCCCCGCTGGTGGAGCCAGCACAGGTGATGGCCCCAAAGTCATGCCTGGGGGACCTGGGGGTGGTGCCTGGGCGTCTCCAGACCTGCCCCTGCACTGGGTGACATCAGGCCTCCTGGGCCTGAACCTGCTGCCCACCCCAACCAGACTGATGGGCAGGTCACCCCTTCCCGAGGCTCACCATCTGGCGTGTGGCCATGATGGCTTCAGCAAAGGCCCCAACACACAGCTGGTGTCACTGTCCTCATTCATCAGGACATGACAAACATGCCTTTTGAACCAAGAGCTGGCAGGAGACACAAGTCTGTGCCCCGAGAAGCCTCATCCTGCCAGATCATCAGGCAAACCCCCTCATGCCTCAGTTTCCCCACACCTAAAGGGTTCACTGATCTAGAGGGTCTCAGAGGGACCCTCCCACCTGGTCTGCGATTTGGAGCTGGGCCGGGAGCCGGGGCCGGGTGCAGACAAGTCCAGCCCCCTCCCAGGGCCCCTAATCGGCTCTGTCATCAGGCCCTGGCCACACGGCGGACGGTTAGGAAGCGCCTGCTCTGAGCTGGGCAGCTGGGGGCTGTGCCCATCTGATCTGCGGTGAAGACCACGGGACCCCGAGATGGGCGCGGGGGCAGGGACGTGGGCAGTGTGGGCTGGCACAGACGCCTGTCACGAGGGCCTGACTGTCTCCCGGCTCACTCTGGGCCTCGAGCTGGGACCCTCCGGGGCGGCCCCGAAGACCCGACTCCTGGAGGACAGAGGAGACGAGCCAGTGTGCCCCCGGGAACCGGGGAGGGCTTCCTGGAGGTGGGGGACACCCATCCCCACCCTTGTCCGGGTGACGGGGAAAAACAAACATGGGTCTACAGACAGGCCACCTGGGGCCGCCCTGGTCCTGCTGTGGCCTGTGTGGCCCAGAGCTGGCCACTTAGTGCCAGGGGGCAGCATCCACGGGGCACAAGTGGTGGGGACAGCCATAGCTGCAGGTGCCCAGGAGGAGCAGGTGGGGCCTGCCACGGAGCCTGCCCCTCAGCTCCTCCCTCCTCCCTCCTCCCACCTCCCTCATCCGTTCTGCACAGCAGGTGAATGACCCCTCCCTGCCCCACCCCAGGCCCGGCACATGGGCTCAGGGCACCCCCTAACCCTGCAGCGCACACACATCATGGCCCTGGGGCACCGTGGCCTCCTGCTTCACCCGGCTGTGCCTTGTGGGAGACCCAGCGTGTGGTGGGGGGAGGGTAGGGGGTATCTGCATATCCTGGGAGACTCCCCAAGTGTGGCCGGGCCGCCCGCTCTGGGGCAGCCCAGGAAAGCACACCCATGTTTTGGCCTCCTCCTGCCCCCCTTGAATCCTATGGCATTGTCACCCCCTTTGCTCCCCGGGGTCTGAGCGTCAGCTCTACCGAGACAACTCCCGGCTTCCTTTCTCAGCCTCCAGCCCCTCACCCGGATGCCTACGGGGCATTTCTCCCTGGCTGCTGCCCAGCACCTGGAGCTCATACC